CATAATAAGTAAAAAAGAAAACATTTTATGTTAGATATAAATAATGATAAATACGACTAAAATTTGAGATCAAAATTTAAAATTAATGACGTATTATAAGTTATATCATTTAAAATATTAAAAAACAAATCTTATATTATTTAAAGATTATTATTATTTTTATTTTTTAAGACCCATTATACTATATTATATATTAACTAATTCAATAATATAACATAAACTACTTCATTGCTCTCAAATCTTCATTCCCAATTTCTGCCTCCCTAACGAGTATACTGATTAGATATACATTACAATTTTGCTTTATGCGGTCACAATTAGGGTTGGGGCGGGCTCATATTTTGCAGCGTTGGCCGATCTGAGACCCAGCCCAATTCAGCTTTGGACCCTCATCCATTTTTATCCACTTAGGGCAGAAGTCAACTCATCTCCTCCACTTCACTCTTTACACACTTCTTCTTCTGAGTTCGGAGTAGCAAGGAAATCAGTCTTTAGACTGAACTGTAAACTCAAATGGCTTCTCAAGAACACGATGCCCACCACCACCACCACCACAACCATGATGACCACCACCACACTCATGATCACCATCACACACACGAGTAAGCAAAATCCCATCTGAAATTTGCAGTCTAGTTTCTGCTTTTCTCTTCGATGCAGTTTTTTAATGTTTACTGATTCTGTCTTGCCGTGCAGCAGCAAATCAACGGAATCATGGGTCGGCCCTGATGGGAGGGTGTACCATAGCCACGATGGACTGGCGCCGCACTCGCATGAACCCATATACTCACCTGGGTTCTTCAGCAGAAGAGCTCCACCAATTCTCAACAGGGATTTCAATGAAAGAGCTTTCACTGTTGGTATTGGTGGCCCCGTTGGTACTGGGTATTTCCCATTTTCCCATCAATTTTCTCTTTAGTATTAGAATGTGTCGCTTGGTTTATGTCTTTATAGAATTTGTTGTTGTTCAAATGGACGAAGAAATGACCAATTTTTTTACTTCGGTTAAAATTTATAAGTAGATTAATGTCTAATTAGTGCATGATTCAGTTGTCAGTTTTATTCAGCTCTTTGGTGTCTAAGTAATGGAAATTGCACTGCTTTCCCTCCTGAAGTGTATGCCTTTTCCCCTTTTTATTTGTGATTAGTTATCCTAGTTTTGCAAGGTGACCATTTCTTATTTCTGATACTTATTATTTTTGGAAGAAAATTATGAGACCAAGAGTGTGTATTGCTTTGTCATTTTAATTAATATAATCTGATATGTTTTGTTTTCTCAGTTTTTGCTAGCTATATTATAGTTGAAATATCTATCTTGAAACAACATGATAAATGACTTCTTGTGGAATGTTTTCTAATGCCACACAGGAAAACAGCTTTAATGCTTGCTCTGTGTAAATGCTTGCGTGACAAGTACAGTCTTGCTGCTGTAAGTATCCTCCATGATGAACTTCTGTGATTCCCTTTGATGGTGACTTTTCACTAGTCTATCCTTCTTGAAGTACTTACTACATTTCAGTTATTTGAAGACTTTCTATTTGATGTACCCAACACTATAAATTGGCAAAGGGCTTTAAGATGCTTATTAGTAGTAGAGATCAAACAGAGTTGAACTTTTCTCTTCTTTTTTTTTTAACAATTTCAATTCTTGTGATTTGAAATTTATTTGGAATTACCGAATTAGTATTTGACCCTTGAATTCTGGCTGTTAAAGTTTGCATATAGGACTTTGAAGCTCGTTTAGATTGGTTGAGGTATGCCTCTGAACGAACAAGCAAATCTACTTCTTAAATTTAGTTGGGAGGAATCACTTGAAACTCAAAAACTTTTGTACTCATCTTTCTCAATTACACCTTGGTGAAGTCAATCTCGTTTCCTATCCATCCTCAATTTTCCAATTTGTACTTGAATGAATATGCTTATGTAATACTTGAATGTGAATGCATGTATATTTACGGTGTTTGTCAACCTTTTGATATGAGGCTAATTTTCCTAGGAAACTTTATACTGGGAGAGTGGTTGAGAACGTACTGTTGGTAAAGTTGGAAATTATTGTACAGAGAGTTGGTAACTTATGTACTGAAATTTCGTTTTTGAGATTGTTAACTTTTTGATGTTTGGTAAGAAGTTGGCATTGGGAAACTTGCCAAGTGGGGTATAATGAGGGAAAGTTTTCCCTCTCAAATAGGTGGGAAGAACAGCTTCCTTATCGGGAATTGTGTGAAGGGCAGAAAGGGATGAAAATGCCAACTTTACCCCTTATTTGTTATTGTAATGGAGTGTAAATGCCAAAATAACCTTGAATTTTCCTGGGTAAAAGAGGGGGGGCGGAGTTACTGTTGGCAACTAAACACCACATTATGCTTAACATACCTGGAATTTCTCAATGTTCAATTAAGGCCTTTAAATCTTTTGAACCTGCCTGTAGGTCTTTGTTAAATATACTTTGTACTTTAATCCATGGTTCGATAGTTTGAGTAGATTTATTGTTAGCCAAATATGTAACTCCAAGCTGTATTAGTTGAACAATAACCTGAGAAGTATGTTATTTCTTCAGGTGACAAATGATATCTTCACAAAAGAGGATGGTGAGTTCTTGGTGAAGCATGGGGCACTTCCTGAGGAAAGGATACGTGCTGTTGAAACAGGAGGCTGTCCACATGCTGCAATTCGAGAAGACATCAGCATCAATCTTGGCCCTCTTGAGGAGCTCTCTAACTTATATAAAGCAGACATACTTCTCTGTGAATCTGGAGGAGGTGAGTTGGAATGGGTTTTTTCTTGCCCTTCTATTTTTGGCCAGGAGTGGATATAATTCAAATCCATCTCGCAGTGACGTGATTGTGAATGAAAGGTATGGGGGAGGGGGGCATGACTCTCAACTATGTATTCGACATTCAAATATTGAGTCCTATAACGTTCATCTGTTATAATTTAAAGTGAAATTATCAAATGTTAACTCTCAATGTCAAGATGGTTAGATATCTATCAGAGTCATTAGCAGTGGGACTAGCTCTCAATTGGAAAAGATGACAGATTTATATGAATTTTTGTTGCTTCAGATAACTTGGCTGCCAACTTCAGCAGGGAACTGGCTGACTACATAATTTATATAATTGATGTGTCTGGTGGAGATAAAATTCCTAGGAAAGGTGGCCCAGGCATAACTCAAGCTGATCTCCTGGTATTTCTTACGTCTGTAGTTGCTGCTACTTGTTTTGCACTGTTGCATTTGTTAGATCTATTAGTTGTCCATTGTCTCACCAATTCCTGAATTAAAATTTCTGGAATTGCTTGCTTGATTGATTGAGTATTTGCTTCTGGTTTCAGGTGATAAACAAGACTGATCTCGCACCAGCAGTTGGAGCTGACTTGAAAGTCATGGAGCGTGATGCACTTCGGATGCGTGATGGGGGACCTTTTGTCTTTGCTCAGGTTGGTTAAATTTTGGGTTTTTTTACATTGGAGGGAGGTGGGTGGGTGGGTAGGTGGGTTCCACTTTTTGGGATGAGGGATTTCATCCATCCTGAATGGGACCTTTAATAATGGAGCAGCTGCTGAAACAAAATTTGATCTTATCCTGAAATCTAGAACATTATATTTGCCCGTCTGCCAATTTTCTTTCTATTATTGCATTCTTATCTGAAAAAGGCAGGGATGATTCCATGTTAGAACACCTAAATTGCCTTTGTGGGCCCATCACATAATTTATCTGGAATGTGTGTTTTCAGGTGAAACACGGAGTTGGAGTGGAAGAAATTGTTGATCACATTTTACAGGCCTGGGAAGTTGCAACAGGGAAGAAGCGCATATGACTTCTTCTTTTTTTTTTTTTTTCCAACTTTTTTGGAGAACCTGTTCTTTGTATTTGAATTTAACCTTATACTCTGCTGCTATCGGAATCTTCTCTTAAGCCAACCTCCTTGTCGCAATAAATTTGGCTGCACTTTATACTCTTCTTCATTAATTTGAATATTGAATGTTCTGAAAGACAATGGATAATCTTAGAAGACTCATGTTATTAATGCAGTCTTGGCCTATCAACTACAGCATCTGTGCTTCTACAAAAAACCATTTACTTTGCAAGCAGCTGTCGGTGGAATGGATGAGACTTTAATTCCATTTCATTAGTATCTCTACTTTAAGTAGAAAAGTACTGTTCTTAACATTTCCTATTATTAGATGGAAATTTCTAACTTGTGCCATGGGAACATAAGTAAAGTTTTATTAAATGTAGTATTTTCAATTAATTCTACACGAAAGACTTTGATTGATAGATAAAATGTACGAAAAACAACAGCGGTACATAAGGATGTTAAAGGGATATTACAAGTTTCTATTCATTTAGGAAATTAAACATCCCAACATTGATGAAAATCAACTGCACACTGACACTAATGTAAATCAGGGCCAAGCAATGGGATTGATGAGCAATGATAGTACATGATTCTTTGTTACATGATCTTGAGAGCTATGACCGTCCCCATATCGGTACATAAACTGAGTCAATCTTGCAAGGTTCATTGTAGCTTCAGTCAAAGTTGGAGGGAGAGGACAGGCTTCAAATCGATCTTTGTTCATCTTCTTCCATGTTATGTCAATCAAATCCTGTATATATTTACAAGCATCTTCTTCACAAGCTCCCATTTCATGCATGTAGCATTGAATAGATTTTGGAACATCACCTCTTTTCATTTCATCCTAAAAAAAGAGAAAGCAAATCTTGTAAAAACTACTTTAATCACATTAACCTATGCATAGAAGAAGCAAAATGAAAGGACTAACCGGTGATGTTCCCAAATCATTTGCAAGCCTTGATACCATTGACGAACAATGGATTATGCTGGGGAATTCTTCCTCAATATAATGCAAGACCTCCATTGTTATGTGATTTGAAGAAAGGAGATAAGCATGTAATAATACAAGAGGCGCCGATATTGAAACGGCTGCATTATCAATGTACTGATGCAAAGTTGGAGTGTATCCTTCATGGTACCATTTTGCCTCTATTAAGTAACTTTTACATAAATCTACCCACTGAGACCAATTTTGAATGAAAAAATTAGGAAGAGAAAAGTAAGACAAAGCAATTGAGAATGAAATAATGATACCATACCGCTTTCTTTGAGTAAGAAAGGATGTTTAATCCTTGTTCCTGGAAAATCTTGGAAGCCATTTGGTTCATGGAGTTATACAGGGCAAAAAAACATAACTTCATATAGTCTGGAAGTTGCTCTATTGCATTGATATCCCATCTGAAATTACGATAGATTAATATATGTCAAGTCCATGTATGAGTGTAAGAGCGAAAGCTTGAGAAATTACTAATTGCTAACCTCTCAACAGCATTGGTAAAATGCTCAAGTTCATCCAAGGTTCCATAGACATCATAAACATCATCTATTGTTGTTACCAGTGCAATGACTTGTGTGGCCATTCTTCTAAAATATCCATACTGAGGCTGGAACAAAACTCCTGTTGTCCACAAATAATTCTCCACCAACCTGTCTCTAATGAACTCCAACTTTTCCCCAAGACCTACTTGCATCCACCACCTAATTTTTATATTGAGCAGAGAAAAATGGTTTCCACTTCAAAATCTTACAAGGTTTGTTTTACTATTTGTCAAGGTAATCAAATTATTCACTCTCTTACATGGAAGCATGTTTTAGATCCTCTTGGTATGTCGCTTGCACCATGTTGAAATCCAACTTGGCAAAATCAAGCAAGACGGGATTCATGTCTGGACTTTGCTGATAAAACTCAATGAACCATCTTGCTTCCATTCTTGGCATTCTCCAATGAAGTGGAAACTCTAGGGAGTGTTCCACCAACGTGGAAAGATATGGATCTTTGCTTTCTTTGAGCATAACATATTCATTCAGATGCGTTCTCGTGAAAGTTCTAGCTGCATCTAGTATACCTTCACCTTCCATTGAAAGGAATGAGGCTTCATAAAGATATAGCATTCCTTTGCAATCTTTGCACAGACAAGCCTTGAGGTTCCCGCTCTCATCTATGAAACTATTGAAAATTGCTGCAAAGAATAAAATTAAACTAAGTAGTTTATCATCTATTTGATATATTTACAAACATAAAACTTTAAGAAGTACCTTGAGGTACTTTATGCCCATGTTGTCTTAGGAGTCTGAATACAAGAGCTGCTGCACATAAACAGTCTTTATTGAGGCCATAATTGCCATGATTATTGCTGTATGCTCCCTGCAAAATTACCTTTATTTCATCCTCAAAATGATAAGATATTCCTAGCCTCTGCAAGGCATCTATGAGCTGGAGTTGATGCAAAGGATTCTTGTTCATCTCCTTTCCTTCTAGCATCTCCATTACATTTTCCTTTAACTTGTTGATGCGCGTTCTGTATGATTGTCCCTGCTCATACATGAAGTTTCTTGTTAAAAGAACATTATGCAAAAATCTATAGTGAGCAAGAAAATTGTCCATAGTACCACATATTCAGTTTTCAGCGACTGAATGTATTCAAAGCTCCAAATAGGAGGCTGGTAATCTGCAGATCGCCTGACAGTGGGCTGACTCGACAATTTAAGGGCAGCTAGAAATTGGACATGGCCAGGCACGTAGAATCTGCTGTGCGAGGAAGAAGCAAATGATCTGGTTGAAACAGCTGCATGAACAGAAGCATGTAGGTGATGAGCCATCAGGAATGAGCTCTTTCTGGGAATTGCTGTGGCATAAAAAGACTCAAATGGGGGACACCCGTGTTTCACGTGATTCATCAAGTATCAAATGGGCAAAAACCAACATTTAGCCCCTCACCTTACAAAGTTGGTAGGTTATAACCTCTCACCTTATAACATGATACTATTAACCCTTTACCTTACAAAATTGATAGGTTTTAATCTCTCACCTTACAAAATTGGTAGATTTTAATTTCTCACCTTATATTATGACATTTTTACCCCTCACCTATATGAATTGAAGAAAATAGTTCTCATCTAACATCAGGTTATAACGTTTTGTTAGTTCTGTTAATTAACTGTTAATATCTGTTAACATTCTATTATCAAAAATATGAAATTTAAATTCAATTTTATTTATTAGTTCCATTAAC